TTTACATAATCAATAACTCATTAAAAAAGTTTCAAAAAATAATAATTTTGTTTAGGCCCCGAAATAAAGTGAAAACAAAAAGTTAAAAGTGAAAAAAAACAAAATAATGACTTGGCGAGCACGTTTTGACACCCGCATCTTTGACGATTTTTAATGTTTTTTTGGCTTAGCAGAATGGCTTCAAATATTATAGGCGTGTAGGTTACATCATAGAGAACTCACAAAAAAAAAATTCAGAAAACAAAACTTATTTTTAGGCCCCGAAACATTTTTTGGCGGGGGCCGAACCTGGAGGTGTTCGGCCCCCGAATGGGACCCCGAACGCCCAAACGTTCGGGGGCCAGCCCGGGGGGCCCCGAACGTTCAGTCAGGTAACCCTGATAATAATTATATTGACATTAAATTCACATCAACTCGTGCCATCAGCTTACCCGCTGACCTGCCAATCCCAAAAGTGCTATGGGAGCCTTTGAAAGGTTGTACAAAAGTTGGCGGGGGCGTGGGTGTGACCAAACAGACGACATGTGAAACCCCATCCAGGAGAGCAAAATGGACAGAGCAACCTGAACCTGTATTATTGCGCAGGCGTCAGCAGTAGGATGGAATAAATGGGTTGATGTTGCATACCGTAAAGGTGCAGACCAGAACAAGAGCCGACCTCTCTCAGATAGTACAAGATAGCGCAGCGGAAGGCTGATATACCAATGATCTGAACAATCAATGTTGCAATGCAGACCAAACATACATCATCATCATTCCATGGTGTGAAGGGGCCTGGCGCTCACACAGGAAGACTGCTCCAGTCCCCAACCATACACAGACGAAGAAGAGGGGGTTTAGACGAAGAAGAGGGAAAGATGGGAATGTCGTCAACACCAAGTCTTCGGTACAGGTCCCAAATAATCCCTCGTCCAATGTCTCAATCCCAATGTGGAGTCTGGATCCAAATGTCGTCAAGTCCCAAAGTCACCAATCTCTCTCTCTCGTAGTCTGCAGATATTGAGAAGTTAGGTAGCGAGAGGGTGAGGGAGAGATGGTGGACTTGTGAAGGTGGCGCCTTGTTGCAGGTACATCGAAGACGAAGCGGGAGCTATGGCGCCACAGGTAAGTCTCCCTGGCCTGCGCCAACCATCTCTCTCTCTCCAACGCTACTCTAGCTCCAAATAGCGCCCAGCGCTGAAGACTACTGCTAACGCTACTCCTACGACTGCAGCGCTCCTCCAGAGTGCTGCTGCCGAATCCTGAAGACTGCCTGCTGCCTCCTGCACGTGAAGTGCCTGGGAAGTCCCTATGAACTACCTGCAGCCTGCAGGACGGGCCAGTCTTATATAGTGCTGGCCCGTCCAGGAGACTGCTCTTGCCAATGCCAAAACGACCCTGGCGTTGAAGTTCAAACAAAGGTTGTCTTGAAAACAGGCCCAAAATGGCCTGTGCTAAAACTCTGGTCTGGTGCCTAAGTTTCAGGGCAGGTCGATCTTATGAGGGCCTGAAAATGGCCCTCCCTTTCAGGCTGAAAAAGACTCAGGGCCTGGAGGGCCCTGTTTTAGGCTGAAACGACACAGGGCCTGTAGGCCCTCGTTTTCAGGCTTTCAGGCTGAAACGACAAAGGGCCTGTAGGCCCTTGTTTTCAGGCTTTCAGGCTGAAACGCCACAGGGCCTGTAGGCCCTTGTTTTCAGGCTTTCAGGCTGAAACGACACAGGGCCTGTAGGGCGCTTATTTTCCGTCTGGTCGGGCCCTGCAGGCCCATGTGGATGCATAGTATACCACACCCCCCCCTCCTTGAAAGACCGAGCTTACCTGCGAGGGCGAAGCTGTCTGTCGGAGGGAGGGACCAAGGTCCGGGTGGGAGGGACAGGTTGTGAAGCTTCTTTAGCTAACCTTTGTCGTTCGTAGCGAGCGTAGATCAGCGGTGCGGATGCTTTCAAATCTGCTCTTGAAATCCATCAAGTGTCGTCGGGATCGCATGCTTTGAAGGTAACTTTGTACTGTTGAGGCTTGCTGCCGTACTTGCAATCCGCGATGACGCGGTCAATTTCCTGATGACCATCCATAGATGGAGGGTCTTGCGATCGTCGGCCTGGGAAGACGTTGCTCTTAGCTGGTGTGTATGTCGCCAGCTTCGAGGCGTGAAAGATTGGATGGACCGTCATATGCGGGGGAATGTTGATCACAAATGAGGGGCTATCGGGCTCATCGCCCGCGGCTGATGTTACGGGCCATGGTCCAAACCACTTGGGGAGTAGTTTGCGCGAAACATCCTGTTCGAGTGCAAACTCTTCCGCGGAGACCCAAACCAGATCACCGGCGCGGATGGGACATGGCATGCAACGCCTGTTGCCTTGCTGCTGCATGCGGACTTGAGCTTTTTGCATGTTTGCGCGGGCTTGAGCCAGCAATTCCCTGTACTTCCGAACGGAAGCGGGAGAGCAAGCAGCGTCTATGTCGGTTGGTCGTGGCAGGAGAAGATCAGCGAAGATACAACCTTCCCGGCCACCGTGGTGCAACTCGAATGGAGCCACGCGGATTGCCGGATGCAACGAAGTGTTGTAGGCGAACTTTATGTCGGGGAGGCGGTCAACCCAATCCTTCTGATCCGGACGGATGAGCGTACGAAGCATCATTTGAGCGGTTTGATGTGCCCGCTCCGTTTGCTCGTCTGTCTGTGGATGCCGAGCTGAACTTGGTTTCATCTTGGTGCCGGATTCCTGCATGAGAGAAGTCCAGAATGCCGACATGAAACGAGTGTCGTGGTTGCTAATGATATCTTCCGGTACGCATTAGCTGCAAATCCAACCAGTGTGCAAGAGGCGCGCAAGTTCGGGAGCCGTGGCGTAGTACTTGCAAGGGAAAAACCGTGCGTACTTACTCAAACTGTCAACGACCTTGAGGATGTCGTCGTGCCCGAGGCAGTCGTGTGGAAACGGACCGGTTACGCCCATGGCAATGGAGAGGCCGGGTTCCCGTGGGATAGGCATCGGGCGCAATTCGCTGTAGGGATTGCGGTTGTGGGGCTTGCTTCGTCTGCAAACTTCGCAAGAGTCGCAATACCGAGTGACATCGGTAATGAGGTCGGGCCACCGGAATCGTTGTCGAAGTCGTGCACTATTACGATTGACTCCGAAATGGCCAGCAAGTCGCGAGTCGTGGTACTTACTGAGAAGGCGAGTCCGAAGACGACGGTCTCATGGGACACACAATAAGTCCTTGCCTTGCGAGTGGAGAAGCAAGTACCCGTTGACGATGCGATAATGGCTGGTTGGCGGGTGATCCGAAGATAGCAGCGCGTAGAGCGTGGCGAAATCCGGATCGGACTCATAGCCCCGGATGAAGTGCCGCTGGAGTTCCTCGTTGAACGCAGAGGCATGGTGTGTCATAGCACAAAGATCGGGTCTTCGCGAGAGTGCATCTGCTGCGCCATTGGAGAGGCCGACGAGATGTTTCAGTGTGAAGTCAAATTGGTCGATGAAGTACATCCATCGCCCGATCGTGCTGCTCATTGTATCCTGCGTCTTGTAGTAGGTCAACGGGTTGTTGTCAGTGACCCATGTGAACCTATGACGCCCGAGGAGGAAGTGCCGCCAGCGCTTGTGAGCCATCACGAACGCGAGTAGCTCCTTCTTCCTTGCATCATCAAGTGAGTTGATGGGAGGCACTTTGTGGCTGAAATACTCCACGGGGTGCCAATCGTCGCCGTCGTGTTGTTCCAAGACTGCCCCAATGACATAGCCGGAAGCATCAATCGTGACTCTCGTTGGCAAGGTGGGGTCGTAGATGCTAAGGACGGGTGCCATGAGCATGGTCGTCTTGAGTGTTTGGAATGACCGTTGCTCGTAGTCGTCGAATACGAATGGCACCGTTGGTGATTGTAGTCTCGTCAATGGTGCGGCGATTCTTGAGTAGTTGATAGTAGCCCGCCAACCCCATGAATGAGCGAACGTCCGTGGTGTTAGTGGGCTCGGGCCATATGTGGATGGCCTCAATCTTGTCCGCAAGTGGACGAATGCCTTGCGGAGTCACATAATGTTCCAAGTACTCCAGATCTTGCCGCGCAAATTCACATTTGTTGTGGTTGGCTTTGTAGTTGTGCTTGTCGTAGCCGCTCCAAAACAATGCGCAGGTGCTCCACATGCGCGTCGAAACTCCGACTGTACACCCAGATATCATCGAGGTAGATGAGTACGAATCTATTCAGCATGTGTCGGAACTCTGTTGCCATAGCCACTTGGAATGTGGTCGGGGTATTCGTAAAGCCAAAAGGCATAACTAGCCATTCTAAATGCCCATATCGCGTCTTCAACGCGGTCTTGTAGCGGTCCTCCTGCCGGATCTCGAGTTGGTGATATCCCGATTTGAGGTCAAGCTTGGGGAAGAACTTGGCGCCGCCCAGCCGTTCGAGGAGGTTGTCGATGCGCGGAAGAGGGTCAGCTTTCTTTACGGTTTGCGCGTTGAGCTTGCGATAATCGATGCACAACCGCAAATCCTTGCTCTTTTTCCGGACGAAGAGAACGGGCGCGCCGTATGGCGAAGAGTTAGGCCAAATCGGGCCTTTCTCAAGAAGGTCGTCGAGTTGTGCCCGTAGCACACTTAACTCTTCCTCGCTCATGCGGTAGATGCAACTACGCGGAGGTACGGTCCCGGCCTCGAGGATGATCTCGTGGTGGATGGGCCGATCCGGTACTACTCCGTCCGGGGCTTCGAACACGTCGCCATAGGCGTTGAGAAGCTCGGTGATGTGTGGATCTGTCGATGCGTTCGTCCGTCGATGAGATGCCATGGGTCGGGAGGGCGTGGAGAAAACACAGACCCATCTCCTTGATGTCGTCTCGGGTGATGGAAGCTCGAATGCTCGCGGCGGACACCATGTGCCTGCTGATCGAAGGGTGAGGTGGAGGCACCGTGCATGGGACTAGTACTCCATTTCGGTCACAATTGTGAACGGTGCGGCTCTAGAAGTTCACCGGGTGGTCCTCGCTTTGCAACCATGACATGCCCAAAACCATGTCGAATTGAGTGTCCAAAAGGACACAGCCTCCCTTGCATGCAGGGCAAAGTACACGGGGACGGAATCAATGTACAAGGACACAACCTCGCTTGCATGCAGGGCAAAGTACACGGGGACGGAATCAATGCACCTGTCGATTGACTTGTGCGTTTGACCGTCGGCCAACGTGACTTGCGTGGGCTGCGACTTCCTCCGACGCGTGGCCTAAGGCCAGCGCATACCATAAAGTCTTGGCTCATATAGTTGCGAGTAGCTATGCAATCGATCAAAGCGCTGCAGGTCGCCTCTCCGATCTGAATGTGTATGTACAGCAATGATGCGTCGTTGTTGTCGTACCGTTGTGTCTTCAACTCGTGGTCGATCTTCGCAACGTAGTCGTGAAGGTCAACAACCTCTATTCCGACGTCCATCAATGGAGTTGGTACTGAAGTGTGCAAGTAATCTCGCAATTGTGCCATGAGCACGTTGCAATGCGGTTTCGGCAATCGATCGGTCGGGGAAGGGGCATCAATTGGATCCGCGAACATCAAAGGGTCGAGTCTAACAAGTCTTGACCATGGCGTCAAATCCCCGGCGAAAGTTGGCGGCGAAGCTTACGAATCGGTTGTCGATGATGGTGAAATTGTGCATGCGGTGGATTATTGCACGTGAAGTGGCTGGTCCAATGGTGGGACCAAGTGGACAACGTAATCCTCGTAAGTGAACCGAGGACTCGTGACATCTGCATTCTCCCCAAATGTGTAGGAGGCTGCTAGCAAGGCGACCGTATCTAGCGGAGTGAGAGGTGGAGTCGCCTCACCTCCCGCGCAACTCAGTTTCCGGAGTTGATGCGGGGTCAAACATCCTCCTTGCCTTGATCCTGGCATTGGGAGGTCTTGTGCTTGGTGCTGTTGCACCAATAGCAGCAGCCATACCGGCTGCGCCACTTGTATTCTGCCTTAGTCAAGTTAAACTTGACCCGTGGTGCTGGCTGTCCGTTTCTGGCTGGCAATGCGGTTTTCGCCTTCCCTTTTCCACGGGAGTTGTTGTTGCTTCGCGGCTGGACAACGGCCACCTGATCTCCCTCACGTGATGCTAAGGTGGTTGCCGGGTCTTCCACAATGTTGTCCGGTTGGACTGCAGCGACATGCTGCGGACGTGGACCAAATTTTCCCTTCTTCACATAGGCTGGCTGCCACGCTGACTTCTCCTGTGCAGCAGCCCGGTTGGTCTTGATGATCTCTCGCGCCTTGTCGATAAATTCGGCAAAGGTCGTGTACTGCTCACGATCACCCAGTGCGAGGCTGAAGGCGGCACACGATCGGTTGTAGAAGTCTCGGCGCAGATGTGAAAATGGCAACTCGAGATTGAGCGTTGCCACGATCTTTTGCCATTTCATGAGCCAATCCCGTATCGGTGTGTTGCCTTGGGTCATGGTGAAGAGGCGGGTGATGGCGAGCGTCGGGGCGTCATCAACGATGAACCGCTTCTTCCATTCTCTCGTCATATCTTTCCAGGAGATCTTCTTGTATAAATGGTTGACCTGGACGTCGTAGATGGTTGCCATGTGGCATCCACCCTTGACGTTGAGGAACAGCGCCGAGATGAACAAGTATTCGGGGACCTCGTGAATCCCAAGCTCCCTTGTAAAGTCGTCCCACCAGACGACTGGGTCCTGATGCGTATAGTCGTGAAACTTCTCGATTTGGAACGTCGGCATCTTGTAGTGCTTTGATCCACTGGTGCTGCGATCGTTGTCGGGCGGCTGGTGCAGCTGCATGAGTTCGGTCTGCAAGGTGCCGAGCTGCTCACTGATGGTGGCTGGTGCGGCGAAGGTGCTGATGTCGCCGAGCATTGCGACTACATGGTCAACTCGTTGCTGCAACTGCCGGGTTGAGGGTACACTGCTGGACTCGCCAGCATCTGGTCTTGGTGCGGCTTGCTCCAAGTCCTGTACACGGGAATGAAGTGTCCGTGTAGCATCCTCGTGCAGATCCTTGTGGTTCTGCACTGTCTGTCGGAGATTCGCCAGTTCCTGGTGTTGTTTCTCTAACTCGGACTGCAGGTGGTTACAATTGTAAACCAACCGGGTCACGAGTTTGGAGAGGAACTCCTTGTGCTGCTCTTCCGGTGTCGCATCGTCGTTGTCCTCAGCTGGTTCAAAATGCCAAAACTGGAGCCTTTCGAGCTGGCGGTTTCGTGTTGCTATCGCAGATCTTGGGCCTCCTTGCGGCGTGTCTGGGTATCTGTGTCTGCTTCGGCCTGAAGCCGCTACTTTTCAGCTGCTGCCCCTGCTTCAGCCTGTAGGCGGGCTGCCTCGGCTGCCGCCTGGCGCTGTACCTCAGCCTCGATCAGTGCGAGCTGAGCTAGAAACCGCTGATGGTACTCGTCAATGGACTCGCCGGCCAGTTGACCTGTCATGCCCAATGATGAACCCGTCATGGTGGCAGGGCACTGCAGACGTTGGTACTGCTATTGTCGTGGCAGTGCTGACGTGGAATTGTTGCTGACGTGGCACTGCTACTGTCGTGGCACTACTGACGCTGCACTGCCGCTGACGTGGCACTGTGTAACCGGGAATGCAGGCAAAGAGTTGGGTGGGAGGGAAAACGCGGGAAGGTAATCAACCAACTGTACTTTCCTCCTGATTCTAATCAACAGAATAAAATAAAAATAAAAAATAAAAGAAGAGGATCACCCCCCCCTTTTTTTCTTTTTTTTTTGTATAGCTGTCTATCTGCTATGAGTGAGGCATTTCAGAGGAGTACTATGAGAGAGAAATAGACTGGAGGTTCCCATTTGCGAGAAGAATAGATCCAGTCCGAGAATATGACAACCTCCCTAGTTCCCCTAAATGCCCAGAGTAAAACAGAAAACGAAATGCTAATATCCGAAGTTGCGAAAAAGAGAAAACAATTGCAGAGATTTCACGAAGTCCTTCTTGATTTACTAATAACAATCAATCAGTCAATCAATCAATCAACAATCAGAAGATCAAGCAAGCTGGCTACTTGATTGGGCGGATCCTCTGATTGAGAGGTAAGCTCCGATACCAAACTGTCGCATACCGTAAAGGTGCAAACCAGAACAAGAACCGACCTCTCTCACATAGTACAAGATAGCGCAGCAGAAGGCTAATATACCAATGATCCGAACAATCAATGTTGCAATGCAGACGAAACATACATCATCATCATTCCATGGTGTGAAGGGGCCTGCCACTCACAGAGGAAGAATGCGCCAGTCCCCAACCATACACAGACGAAGAAGAGGGGAGTTAGATGAAGAAGAGGGAAAACTGGGAATGTCGTCAAGTGACCGGGGGTTGACTGCAGCGTTGACCAAGTGTTTACCAAGGCGTTGACCAGGGCTGTTGACCACGAGTTTGACCAAGCTGGAGCCGGTATAATCTCGCCAAGCCTTCAGCCTATCACCTCGCCCTATGGATGTGCACATACCCTGTGGTACTTGCTGAGTCAAGTCTGTCTGTCTCTTCTTTCTGCATTGAGTCTCTTCTGTCTAGGTGATAGGAACTCTGTGGAAGAAGGATAGGGCCTTGTTGACCAAACCCACACGGGTCGAGTAGGCTAAAGACTGTCTGATGACTCGACTGTCCCGAAGGACACGAACCCTCCCAAGGACCGGTACTGACCGGCGGGCTGCTCGGTGTGGCACGGTAAGCCCAAAATCCGAGTTGTGGGCTGCAAATAGGTCGTCTAAGTCTTGAGAGGACCTGCTGATCGCGTTGTCCTGTCTGCGGCATTAAATAATTCCTGAGGAGTTACGGGGGATCTCCTTAAATGCCTCCTGATCAGCAACAGGTCCTGTAGTGACAGCCTTAGAGTAGGTCTAGGCTAGAAACCCTAGTTGACAGGATGCTGTCCGGACTCTGTATGTCCTTAGATCTAGTCAGTAGGTTTGCCAGTCAGGGGGAGTAGCGTCTAAGTGGTGAGGAGTGGAACCGTTGTCTGGTTGTGCACCTGTCACCATGGTTGACACCCGTAGTGGGAAGAGTACTGCCCCCCAATCCAAGGCCGAGCAGGTCCAGATCGCCGCCATCCTGAGGGAGAGGAAAGAGAAGAAAGAGCTCCTCAAGCAGGCGAAGCTAAAGCCTAAAGGCTATAGCAGAGGAGCAGGTGGCGAAGAAGAAGCAGTTAGAAGAAGAGATGCTGAGATTTCAGAAGGAGAAGATGTTGATGATACAATGGGAGGAGGAAGAGAAGAGGAAGGCTGCCGAAGAAGAAGCAGCAGCAGAGGAGGAAGAAGAAGTAGAAGAGCCCCTTGAAAGAAGGCGTGGGGGAGAAAGAGGAGAGACGAGTGGCACGAAGGGAGAAAACGCGTGGATGGAAAAGAAGATAACTGAAGGGTTAGCTAATTTATCGTTGGGGGAGGATGAGGAGGCATAATTGTACGTGCCGCAGGAGGAGAGGGAGACGTTTGCCAGAGAGTTGGAAGCGATAAAAGATCCCCTGGAGCCCCAGACAACAGAGGACGAAAAGAAGCTGGAGTGGAAACTACGTATGATGAGGGAGAAGAAGAGGAGGGAGGAAACAAACCGGGTGGCAAGAGAGGTGGAGAGAGTTCGCTCCTGCAGACAAGAGGTGCAGGCACAAGCAGAGGTCCCCACGAAATTAGACAAGATTTTGGGGTACCTTGAGGTCTTGAGTGAGGCCTGGCTGGAGGAGCATCAGGCCAATAAGGGTCAATATGTGACCCTGCATGCCATTCAGTCTGGGTTTAGAAAAGTTTGCGTGCGACGTGGTGACCCACGTCGGGACCGAAGTCAATAATTTGAAGGAAGGTGCAGAGAAGTTTTGTGCCGGCGCCATTGAAGGTGACAAAGTAGTGGCCACAGCAGAGGCCGAGTCGCGTTCCCGCAAAAAGCCTGTAAAGCTCAAATTTCCTGATTCTTATAGTGGGAAGAAGGACGAAAGTTTTGATAATTCGGAGGCCAGTATCAACACATACGTGTATCTGCAGCATATTGCCCCCGAGGAACAAGTCCTCATGGCCTTCCATGCATTAAAGAACGAAGCGGCTAGTTTTGCCAGGTCCCTCGCGCGCGCAGCCGATTGTGAAAACAATATGGTTGCATACTCTAGAATAACCCCTCTCTCCACGTTCCTTAAACTCCTGCGTGAGAGGTTCGTTGACGTCACGATAGGTGTCAGGGCCTCTGACAAACTTCAAACCATCCATTCACGACAATGGAGGAGTGCGCGAGCACTCAAAGCTGTCATGGACGACTTGGTAGCCGTCCCAGACCACGGGGTCACTAAAGACCCAGTTGGTCCAGTTATTCTATTGTGCCATGCCAATGCCCTTGTGATGACATTTCTTTGACAAGACCCAACAGGCAAACGCCATGTATGATGCGTTGAGTAGGGAAGTGGTCTTGTTCGAGGCGAAGTCTATGCCAATTTCCACTTTCTGGCACAAGGACTTAAACAAGGGCAAAAAGTGGAAAGGTCGTACCATCTCTGGCCAAGTTAGGGCCAAGGATCACTTGATCCTTACCTTAGATGAAGGTGGTACAGATGAGGTCCCCTATAGTCAGATTGAGTGGGGACTTGAGGAGGAGGACAGTAGCGTAGGTCAGGGGAGGTCCTATGCAGCTGTCGTGGTTGGAGGGAGGCCGCAAAATAGAGGAGGAGGCCAGGGCCAAAGGGGCCAGGCCATGGGAGGCCGAGGATCGGGCGCATAGGGGGTTGGCGGTCAAGGGAACCGTCAAGTGGGAGGTAGGGGTCAAGGTCCCCCGCCAAATCGTCAAGGTCCCAGTCGGTCCCCACAGCGACGAGGTGGTAGGTCATCTCAAAGGTCAGGAGGTTGGCACCCAGGCTGGCCACAAGGCCGGCCCTAGGAAGATTTGGGCCTGGACCAGAAAGTGTGGCAATAGTGCATGGAGCAAGGGCAGTGCATTACTGCGGTGACCCTGCCCATATTATCAAATATTGTCCTAAGTATAGACTGGCCCGATGGGCTGCCCAGGAGTCAAAAGGCAGCGGACGGTAGGGGTTGCAACTGCCCCTACTATTAGGCCATGTGGGGAAGCGAGCGCTCAAGTACACGAAACCCCCACACCACATGTGCCTTCGGCAGAGGTTGCAGGCCCGTGCCTATTTAGCTGTCCAGAGACTGCTTGTGTTAGCGTATCTCTAGGCACTTCCCTCACAGGCATGGCAGAAGAGTTGAAGGAGAGGATGCCAGCCTGGGCCAAAATGAAGAAAGACAGTAAAGGGCAGCTAGTGTTAGTTGATGTAGAAGTCTTTAAAAGTAGAGTTGGGGCCCTTATAGATTCAGGGGCCACCCACAGTTATATTAGTCGTAAAGCGTTGAAGAAGTTGAGACTAGGTTTGATAGTCCAAAAGTTAGAAGACCCCATAGTTAGTGTCCTCGCAGACGACGGCACTATGCGTGTTGAGGACTACGTAGAGGGAGTCCAGGCGTATTTCCGCCTAGAGAAAGATGGGAAAGTGGAGAATGTTCTTCATTCCCAGACTCTCCTCGTACATGATGACCTTCCTTTCGATATAGTCCTAGGTATGGATTGGGGAGAGGCAGCAGGGGCCACACTTCATCTGAGAGAACATGAGATGACCGCACTATGCGTGTTGAGGACTACGTAGAGGGAGTCCAGGCGTTTTCCGCCTAGAGAAAGATGGGAAAGTGGAGAAAGTTCTTCATTCCCTGACTCTCCTCGTACATGATAACCTTCCTTTCGATATAGTCCTAGGTATGGACTAGGGAGAGGCAGCAGGGGCCACACTTCATCTGAGAGAACATGAGTGTAGGCTCCCTAGTCCGTCTGGCGAGGTTAAGACTGCCCGCCTGTTTCATGTGTCAAGAGTAGATTACTCACTCTCAGTGCTCTTGCATTCGCGCGATTAGTGAGAAAGGAGCAGTTAGAGGATCAGGTCTTCGTAGTGTATGTCAGACCTGTCACTAAGCCTAAGGAAGAAGATAGTTCCATGGATCCAGCCATTGCCAAGTTGTTGGAAGAGTTTAAAGATCTTACAGAACCGCCGACAGGAGTAGTGTCGCGGTCGATCCAACATAGAATAGAGATAGAGGCTGGCAGCAAAACTCCTAAGGGAGCAGTCTACAGGATGTCCCCTAGGGAGTTAGAGGAGTTGCGCAAGCAGTTGGATGAGCTCCTGGAGAAAGGTTGGATTAGGCCCAGTTTGTCTCCTTTTGGAGCACCAGTATTGTTTGTTCCCAAGAAGGAAGGAGAACCGCGTATGTGTATAGACTATAGGGGTCTGAATGCGATCACAATTAAGAATGTTGAACCACTGCCCAGGATAGACGATCTCTTAGATCGGGTGCAGGGGTGCAGATATTTCTCGAAGATTGATTTGAAGTCCGGATCTCATCAGATAGAGGTCCATCCTGATGACCAGTACAAGACTGCGTTCCGGACTAGATATGTCCATTATGAGTTCATAGTGATGCCCTTTGGATCGACCAATGCGCCAACTGCATTTCAGCGATGTATGAATGATTTGTTTAGGCCTTGGTTAGATATATTTGTCATAGTGTATCTAGAGGACGTTTGAGTGTTCAGTAGGACCCTCCAAGAGCACCAGGGTCATTTGAGGCAGGTCTTGGAGAAATTGAGAGAGTCAAACTTCAAGATCAATGCAAAGAAGTGCAAGTGGGCCAAGACTCAACATTTGGGCCACGTGTTAGACGGAGATGGCATTAAGCCTGAGGACAGTAGATAGCGGCGATTAGAGATTGGTCGGGTTCCTAGGCCTAGCTAACTACTATAGGAAGTTCGTGAGGAACTTCTCGACTATCGCCCCACCCCTTCGCAGGTTGTTCAAGAAAGAGGCAATTTGGCAATGGGATAGGGATTGTACGTCTACGCTAAAGAAGTTGAAACGCGCGTTAATAGAGTATCCTATCCTCAACGTAGCAGATCCGTCCTTGCCATTTGTCGGCACCACGGACGCTAGTCAATATGGTATAGGCGCCGTGTTACAGGAGGACGACGACAATGGCTACAAACCCGTTGAGTTCATGTCAGCGAGGATGCCCTCAGAGAAGGTTGCTACCTCGATGTATGAGAGAGAACTCTACACTCTCAGGTAGACCTTAGAGCACTGGAAGCATTACCTGCTTGGGAGGCACTTCAAGGTGTATTCAGACCACGAGACACTTAGATGGCTGAAGACACAGGCCAAAATGACACCTACGTTGACTAGGTGGGCGGCTGAGATAGACCAATACGACTTTGAGCTCAAACCAATTAAGGGCAAGTACAATGTAGTTGCGGATGCTCTGAGTAGGAGATCAGACTACTTTGGAGCTATAGTTCACTATCTGGACATAGGGAGTGACCTACAGGAGAAAATTAGACAGGCGTATGCGCAGGACCCTATTTATAGTGACCTCCTCAAAAGAGTCAAGGAGGTTCCGGAGACCGAGCCAGATTATCGCACTACAGAGGGGTCGTTATTTGAGATTACCGCACTACAGAGGACGCTATTGTCTGCGGAGGTCTTGCGGATATACGACCCACTTTTGCCTACGCGTGTCACTACGGATGCGTCAGGCTATGGCATTGGTGCAGTCCTCGAGCAACATGATGGTGTGGACTGGCACCCGATCGAGTATTTCAGCAAGAAAGTGCCTGTCGTGCATTCCATTGACGATGCACGCAAGAAGGAGCTCCTCGCCTTCGTCCACGCGCTCAAGCGGTGGCGGCACCTCCTCCTTGGTCTATGCCAATTTCAATGGGTAACGGACAACAATCCGTTGGTCTTTTACAAGACCCAAGACACCGTCAACAACACCATCGCCCGATGGATGGCTTTCATCAACCAATTCCACTTCTTTCCCGATCACATTCCCGGGAAGTCGAACCGTTTTGTGGATGCTCTTTCACGGCATCCGGATCATTGTACCGCGGTCTACTCAGCCTTCGAGATCGACGATGACCTGCGGAACAGATTCATCCGCGGCTACCAAGCCGACCCCGAGTTCCGCGACAAGTACGTAAATTGCTCCTCTCCTAATCCGGCGCCGTCTCACTACCGGATCCAAGAGGGGTACTTGCTTGTCCACACACAGGGGAAGGACCTTCTTTGCGTACCGAGTGATCCTCACTTGCGTACACGGCTTCTTGGCGAGTTCCACGATGCTCCCGCCACCGGACATTTTGGAGTCGATTGCACGATTGGCCGACTTCGCGAGCGATTTTGGTGGCCCTGTCTTCTCGGCGACGTCACACGCTATTGCGAGTCATGCGAGGTTTGTTGATGCTGCAAATCCCGCAAGCATCGTCTGTACGGCGAGTTACGACCATTACCGGTCCCGTCGAGGCGAAGGGAAGCGATTGCCATGGACATTACCGGCCCGTTCCCCAAGCACAAGATTGGCGTGGATGGGAATCTCACGGTGGTCGACCGACTCACCAAGTTTGCCATGTTTTTGCCTTGCCGCTATCATGCCAAGGCACCGGAGTTGGCCGAGGTTCTTTACGTCGGTTGGATTCGAAGCAAGGGTTACCCCAAGGAGATCGTATGCGACCGTGACACTCGGTCCATGTTCGATTTTTGGTTGGCGCTCATCAAGCGATGGGGCTCATCTCTCAAGCCCAGTTCAGCTCGCCACCCTCAGACCGATGGCCAAACGGAGAGGGCGCACCAGACCGCACAGGTTCTCCTTCGCACTCTCATCTGTCCTGACCAGAAGGATTGGGTGGAGCGGCTGCCGGATGTCGAGTTGGCCTACAACTCTTCCATCCACTTGGCTATCGGGATATCGCCTTTCGAGTTCGAGCATGGCTCGCCGGTCACTTCACCATTGGACACTATCACTCCACGAACGGCTGAGAGCGACAACCATCTTCTTTTCTTGCGTCGGATGCAAGAGCTTCTTGTCAAGGCAGGCCAATCGTCAGCGTCTTCCTTGCCCATTCCGCGCAGGCGACCTCGATTGGGTTTCCGCAGCGGAATTCAGCCTTGAACAAGACATCTCTCGCAAGCTCCTCCCGAAATGGATGGGGCCTTGGCCGATCGTAGCACCCGTTGGGGACGCACCCGAGGGACCTTCCTTCATGATTCAGGTGCCCGCCCACTTGCCCGTCTACCCAGTCTTTCATTGCTCCAAGTTGGCTCTTTACACGCCAGCGGAACATGACGATTTTATCGGGAGACGTTCTTAAGGACCACCCTCTACGGACGGTTTTCAGGAGGTCGGTGACATCATCTCCCAGCGACGCTGCAGCAACAGGCCAACCGAGTATTTGGTGCATTTTGCATACTGCACACACCGAGCTGACCGTTGGTTGACCCGTGCGAAACTTCAAGCAACAGCTCCAGACATTCTCGCACGCTACGAACGCAAGATGCAAGGCAAGCCGGTCTCTTCGGCTCCACGCCGCGCCCGCGTCCAGGTTCCACCTTCAGATCGTAAGCTCCGCCCTCGCCCCGACTTGACTTCATAAGGAGGGGGGAGTGTTACATGCTGCGCCTGCACACGAGGGCCATTTTCCAGGCCCTGCGTCCCTCAGGCTGAAAGCCTGAAAACCAGGGCCTACAGGCCCCATGTCTGTTCAACCCGAAAGCCTGAAAAACAGGGGCCTACAGACCCTGTGTCGTTTCAGACTAAAAATGGCAATAGCCTTTTTAGCCTGAAACGAAGGGCCATTTTCGGTCTTTCATCAGAACGATCGGCCCTGAAACTCAGGCACCGAACCAGGGTTTCGGGAACACGCTATTCTTAGCCTGTTCCCACGCCAGCCTGAGAAGAGGCTGCATGTTACATCTTCGACGCCACACGGGTCCTGCCGGACCCGACATAGGGGTAGAGGGACACAGTAGGGCCAAAGACCCGACCTTGGGGGGTACTACAGGCCGTAAAGGCCTCACCTTGGACCAGACCCAGCGGGCAGGCCCAAACGACATTACCGTTTGGGCCTGGCGGCGCTCTTGAGGCTGCCGCCCGCCGGTTGGGGTTGAACCGTCCATCTGGACGGTTCAGGGCATGGCCAGGCCTCGCAGCATTGAGGCCGGCCTCTGCCCCACCGGTATAAAGAACCGGTCCACCATGAGTCGAAGGGATCGACCTACCGGCATTCTACCGGTACGGGATGGTACAGCGCGATACAACGCTGGCGCTAAGTTTAGCGCAGGAGCAGCGCGGAGCAGCAGCGCAGCATTAGCGCAGCAGCAGCGGCGACTGAGTGGGCCGGCGGCCATAGCCGCCTGAGGTATCGGGAGTTGGAGGCCTCTCTCCTCCCTCCACTCGCCAGTCCCCTCTCTCTCTCTCTCTCTCTCCTCCTCCTCTTCTTCTTCTTCTTCTTCTTCTTCTTCTCCTCTTCAGACTCCATCTTCTTCTTCTTCTTCTTCTTCTTCAGATTGGAGACTTATACTAGTTGGACATAGATCAGTGTTGGATTTCGGTGGTATGAGACTGTGGTACTTACCAGACTGGAGACTTGGAGATTGTTGGGGTTGATACTTGGCGGCATCACAGTTCGGACACCGGTTACATTTGGACTCTGTATCTCCGACATTTTGATCTTGTTGGATGACATTTTGGACTACCATATCAGTGACCTATCGGATTCTATTTCGGTGACCTACCGGTGTTGTCTACCTCCCCCACCTCCTTCGTCTCTCCTCCCACCTTTCATCTGTGTACGAGTGTACGGGATCTGGGCATCGTCCATGCTTGGCCTAGACCCCACCATCTCACGATTGTATGTGTGTGGAGTGATTCTTGAGTCAGTCTATGTGAGTCAGTCCGTTTATCAGACTTCCGTTGAATATATGCTCATCCTACATTGGTTGATCTTTGGTTCTGCCCATACTCATTGAAGTATGTAACAGTATTGGTATCGGAGCAGACCATATAACGGATCTGCGCACAAAGGTAAGTCTGATTAGGAATTAGATTGTTCTTTAATCTTCCGAATCAGCTCTGTATTGCCATTAAGTTCAAAGTTGCAAATTTTTCTTTTGTCGGTATTCTGTGATTTCGGCATTCCCGTTTCAATTCGGAATTCGGACTTATCATTCGGATGTCCGTTTTTTATTTCGGTAGGCTGTTTATTGGGATCCGATGATTGATACTAATCCAACATTATGTTTGGTTCGGATTTCTGATTAGGAATTCGTAATTAGGGTTTAATCAGTATTCTGTTTAAATTCGGCATTCTGATTTTAATCCTGTATTTCGTTTCTAATTCAACATTTTCGTTTTATTGCAGTAGTGGAAATTAGGGTTACAAAAATTTTGGTTTTCAAGCAACTTGGGAAACTCGAACGTTTTGGGAACCGTAAATCCGGAAATTCCGCCGAAACGCGGAAAATTAGGCTTGGGCCCGAAATTTTTGCGAATTTTTTTTTTCTTCGTTCCTTTGTTGTGAGAAATTCCGAAAACGGGTTTAGGCCGTTAAAAATCGGATTTTGACGGTGGAAATTCCCAAAAATTCACGTTTGTGAAAATTCGAGTGTTTTTTCCTGACTTGTTTTTCGAATTTTTTTTGGCATACTAATCCGAATCTGACCCTCAAGTTGCAACTTCCGGGTAGTTCACTCATTAACGGTAACTCCCGGACTAAACATGATCTCAACGGATACCTAATCTTGATAAAATTCAAATTTGTTCATTATCATTATTGCAAAAATTGTTTATTGATTATCTTGATTGCACATATTGATTACGGATTATCTTTATTACAAACATTGTTTATTGATGATCATTAAGAATTATTATTTCGTTATTTATCATTAAATAAGTTTTATGGATTAAATAATTCGTTAATTCTAATTCTTATTACGAATTGTTGAATTGTTTACGRGAATTTATATTTCTGTTTTGATTAGGTGTCTACAGTCCATCAGTGGGACAGGGGACTGTATGTGTATTGTATGATTGTTCTACCCCTGTTTCCACTCTCTCTACCCTCCCCGTAATCTGTGACCACCGGGACCTCTCAAGTACCGCATCAGTCYCCACTGATGTCGATGGAACAGGACACCGGGGCACTGCCACGACGCAGTGCCAGGCTTGCAGTTCGTACCCGCCCTGTGGTACCTCCAAGAACGAAGGCTCAGCAACAGCGACTCAGCAAACGGAAGACTCCAGCGGCATCGAGTACAGCATTGACGGTACCGGTTACCACCGGGGTTCTTCCCGCATGCCCGGTCCAACGGGCCAATGAGCCAGTGGCAGCTTACTTTCAGCGGGTACAGGTATTCACTGATACCGTAGCTGCCGTCAAGGCTCAGCAGGAGGCAGCAGAGGCAGAACGTCGGCGGCTGGCCAATGAAGCGGCAGCCCAAGCTCAGCAGACTGCTGAGGCTGACGCAGCGGCACGAGACCAACGAAATGCCGCCAGCACGGAGTCCCTGATTCGTAGTGAGAGTCAGTGGACAACGTTCCTCCAAGGCATGATCTTTGTGCCTTCGGACGCGCAGGCAGATCCGACACCGGCGGAGGCAGAGAAGACCCACCTGGCCAACTTGATGCTAGGCATGATGAGAGGAATCATGTGGAATAACACACTGCTGCAGGCACATCTGCGCACGAAACGAGAGCAAAGACAAAAGTACCAGCAAGACATTGCTGTTTTAACAACTGCCATCCGCGCCGAAGCAACACAGCAGCAGCAACTGCATCAGCAGTTGAACTCCGCTCTCGCGCGTATCAACAACATTGAGGCTAACACCTCAGCAGCGCCAGGCTGCACGATAGACGAGACAAAGCAGCTCAATGGCGACATAGGTGTTTTCAATGGACAGGACACGATCAGTAGCACGGTGGCCACCATCAAGACGGATATCACCAAGCTGCAGACGAGACCGGACGCCGCCACGAAGAATTACAAGATGCCGCACTTCGACATCAGCAAGTTCGACGACTACAACAAGTCGGACGCCTTGACATGGTGGCAAAGCTTCCTCACGGAAGCATCATGCCGCACAGTACCGACCGACGACATGATGAAGGCACTGTACTTACAACTGATTGGAGGAGCGCAGGCATGGATGAATCATCTGGCGGCTACAAAGAAATGCACCATCGCCGAACTCCACACGCACATTCCGTGGAAGGAGTTCGAGAAGCTATGGCTCACCCGGTTCATGGTTCGCAACGTCGTGAAGGCAGCCATGAACGAGGTGTACACCTGCTCTCAAGGTAGTATGCCAACTCGAGCCTGGACAATTAAGTGGCAGAAGATAGTGACCACACCAGGCTTCGATTTGAGTTTTACCAATCAACGATCCGAGTTCTTCTCGCGATCGTGCGCAGGACTGCGATCGACACTCGGCAACGAGTACGATTACGATTCATTCCAGGCCATTCTGGATCGTGCAAACTTGGTCATCCAAACGGATGACAAGGCTGCAAACGAACGGCAGTCCCAGCCGCATTATGTGGCTAAGCATGGCTATCAACGTCCGACACACAACAATGCCGTGATTTCTAAAGAAACAGTCGATCTCCACGCTGCAGCAGCATCCTCGAGTGATGGAGGAATTGTAGCAGCGCTCCCGCCGAAGCGTCCCAAGAGAGTTCGGAAGAACAAGGCGACACAAGAGACGGCATCGACGGGAACTGGGCAGCAGCCATGGACGGCTTACAAGATAACCAAGGATGTCTATGACCTTCGTCAAAAGTACGGATACTGCCTTTGGTGCAACGGCGTCACTCATGTGACCGCACAATGCCCCGAAAAGGGCAAGGCACGCGTACTCCGTCCAGCAAACTCGGGAAACTGAGTTACGCAAGGAGAGGGGCGATGTCTCTCCTCACTCCGCTGGAACCGGTTGCCTTGCTAGCAATCGATGTCACTACTGGGGAGCATGCGTTAGTCGCTGATTCTCGTGCCACGTACGAGGATTATGCCGCCCAGCTGGTACCACCACTAGACCAGCCAAGCCACGTGCACTTAGATTGCGTATGCGCAGCCTGTACACCGTCGGCAAGTGATCCGGTCAGTTCGCCACTGATTTCGGAGGACTCGACGGCGTGGTCAAGACTTGAGGAGCTTGACCCGCTCACGAGAGAGGACTTCGCTTGGATGCCTCTACCCTCGACCGGAACCTTGCCAAGGCCACATTGCAACGCCTTGATGGCAACTCTACGCTCCTATTTGCACGCTACTGTACCAGCTCCGTTGACGGACGACGGAGTAGCCGTTGTCGATCTCCGCTCCTATCTTGCGAAGATTGACCGCGAGTACGCCACCCAAAGGTACGCCGAAACCGACGCACCTTTGCTCTATATCCGCATTCAAATCGGAAAGGCAACYTGTAGTGCCTTGATTGATTGCGGAGCGTCTCGCAACTTTATGAGCCAAGCCTTTATGGCCCGCGCAGGTCTTGGCCCTCGCGTTCGAAGGCAGACGCAACCTACGCAAGTTACACTCGCGGACGGCCGCACGCAAAAGTCAATTGACCAATGCGTTGACGACGTTCCGGTCTACTTTGCGCCCCTTGCGTGTGAGCCGGTGTCTTTTGACATCCTCGACACCAAGTTCGACATGATTCTAGGCATGTCTTGGTTGCGTAGCGCCGATCATCTGGTGAACTTCCACGACCGGACCGTTCACATCCGTGATCGGAACGGAGTGTTAGTCCCATGTACGGTCGCGACCCCTCACACTTCGATTGCTTGTCACGTGGTTTCCGTTGCGAGAATTCGCGACGCCATTGCTCGGAATGACGTCGAGGAGATGGGCCTTGTATTCTTGCATGCTCTCCCCTCGCCGGACGGACCAGCCGCGTCACCGTCGGACCCACACATCACTCACCTCTTGGACGAGTATGGAGACGTCTTCGAGGCGCCCACCGAAATGGTTCCGGATCGGCCCATACGTCACGGGATCACTCTCGAGGCGAGCGTCGTCCCTCCGCGTGGATGTATCTACCGCATGAGCGAAGAGGAACTCGAGGTGCTTCGCGCACAACTCGATGACCTTCTCGACAAGGGTTGGATTCGCCCTAGTTGCTCGCCATACGGAGCACCTGTTCTCTTCGTCCGGAAGAAGAACAAAGATCTACGGTTATGCATCAACTATCGCAAACTTAACGCACAAACCGTAAAGAACGCCGACCCTCTCCCTCGGATTGATGATCTCCTTGAGCGGTTAGGCGGCGCGACGTACTTCTCGAAGTTGGACTTGAAGTCAGGTTACCACCAGATCGAAATCCAGTCTCAAGATCGGTACAAGACCGCGTTCAAGACGCGATACGGGCATTTTGAGTGGGTAGTCATGCCCTTTGGCCTCACCAATGCCCCCGCAACTTTTCAAGCAGCTATGACGACTGAGTTTCGCGACTTGCTCGCAGCGTCCTCATCTACCTCGATGACATCTTGGTCTATAGCAGGACGTTGGACGAGCACATCACACACGTTCGCGTTGTTTTGAATCGTTTGCGACTGGCCAAGTACAAAGCGAACCGCAACAAGTGCGAGTTCGCCAAGCAAGAGCTCGAGTATTTGGGCCACTACGTTACGCCGAAAGGCATTCGTCCCTTAGCGGACAAGATCCAAGCCATCGTGGATTGGTCGGAACCCCGTTGTACGACGGACGTACGCTCTTTCATGAGATTGGTTGGATATTATCAGTGATTCGTCGAGTCATACTCGAAAGTGGCCGCTCCTTTGTCGAGACTTCAGTCCCCGAAGGTGCCCTTCGAGTTCGACGACGCAGCCCGTGGCGCGTTCACTACGTTGAAGGCAGCGATGCAAGCCGCACCTGCCCTCC